TCAATTTGTAATTCCGCACAAGGAGATGTTCATGCTATACGACACACCAAGAATCAAGTCATACATCTTCGCATGCTGCGGTAACTGCCCTTGCCATACATGTACATATATATATGTATATATATATATATAAGTACATACCAAACAGAAAGAGAGGGATGGACACACAGTGGATCTGTAGATTTGGACACGTGCGTATACATGTGTGCTTGCAGCACTTGCACCTATATGAATACAGATATATATATATATATATATAGAGAGAGATATAAAAAACATAGAAATAGATCAAACCATCCACGGAATCTGGGATTCTCGTGTGTATGTACGTATTATTTCTCCGTGGCGCACGCCGCGCAACAAAAACGACGACGTCCACGGCTACGACTGCAATGACGACCACGACCGTCGATGCGACTACGGCTACGGCTGCGACTCGAGCAGAAGGAAGAGGAGGGACGAGCTTCCCTCCCCGCCGAGAGAAACGGGGGGGGGGAAGACCACACCGAAGACCCTCAGGGGCTATCGCGCCTGGGTGCCGCCGAGGAGTCGGGGATCAGGGGCCTCCTCCTCCTCCTCCTCCTCCTCCTCTTCCTCCTCCTTATCCTCCTCCTCCTCCTCCTCCTCCTCCTCCTCCTCCTCCTCCTCCTCCTCCGCCTCCCCCGGCCAGCCCCTGCCGACGGCGCCCCACGGTGCCCAGCCAGCGTAAAAAAAACACAGCCCCCTCGGCGCGCCACGGGCGGGCAGCGCAGCACAGGTCGACGAGCGCGTCCCGCTACTCGCAAAGCAACTACTCGCAAATGGCCGGACCCCCCGCGGAGGATCTACGATAAACTACACCAACGCGGACATGTGTTTTTTTTTCTGACGTTTGCGAGTAGTAGGCACTTCGCGAGTAGTGCAACGCGCTCGGCGAGAACAGGGGGGCGCGCGTGCTGCGAGCCCCTGGGCGTGCCGGAGCCCGGGCGCCAGGCCAGCACGCGACGGACTCTCCGGCAGGGAGAGCCTGCAGGGCAGCCGCAGGGGAGGAGGGGCACGGGGGGGAGCAGCATGTCGACCTGGGATCGGCGGTGCATCGCCGATGCAGCGGCGATTGGGCCCCTGAAGAAGGAATCCGCGCGTTCCTGGGCAGGCTGGGGCCAGCGGGCCCCCATCGGCGATATCCATGGGCGATTTTAGGGGTCGATGCGCCCCCCCCCCTGATGCCCACCCTCTCTCGCTGCCCCGGGAGGGCGAAGGCGGAGCGAGACCTGGGAGGAGGCGGGAGAGAAGGGGAGAGAGAGAGAGAGAGAGGCCACGGGCGGGGGCGCGAGCGGCCAGCCCCAGCAACCACCACTCTCCTCGGGGGAGGGCGAGCCACCGCTCCGCATCGGGGCGGCGAGAGCGGGAGGGCAGAGACGAGAGGTGGGGCGGGGAACGATCTCGTGCAGGAGGCGTAAGTCGGTCTCGCAAGCACCGCTCTCTCTCTCTCTCTGCACCACGCGCATTCGAGCGGCTTTGGGTGGTCACGGCCACCGAGATGCTTGTGCGGCTTCGCGCCGATGGCCACAACGAACACTCATGCAGAGCCAAGCTTGGAGGCGTCATGGCCGTGCATGCCTGGTCGGAGATCATGGCCATTGACACGCCGGAGCTGTTTGACGTGGCCCCGTCCTGGCTTAAGCAGCTGCGCGCTGGTGCCCCCGTTAGAGCCAGGTTGAGGCCCTGGTCGTCGTCCGAGAAAGCCCCAACCAATATCTGGGCCCCAGCGGGGTTCATGGCCACTCAGATGCCGGACGAATCGGTCGTGCCCCCGTCCAGCGCCGTAAGTTTGAGAGCAGCTGCGCGCCAGTGGCCTTGTCGAAAGCGTACACGGAGGCCGAGTCGGAGCCCCCGTCGGCGTCCGCACAAGCCTCCAGGGCCACCCAGGTCCCGTGGGAACTCATGCCACCGAGATGCCAAACGCATCGCTGGCGGCCGCATCTCGCCACGAGCTTGTGCAGCCTCGCGCCAGTGGCTCTGGCGATCACGCACGCGGGGCCAAGCTTAGAGGCGTCATAAGCCTCCACGGCCAAACGTGCCCCGTCGGGCGGAGACAAGCTTGGAGGCGTCACAAGTGGCACACTCCAAGGCAACCGTGAGAGTTCACGACCACCGAGTCGCCGAAACGGTCGCTGCTGGCCGGCAATGATCTTCTGCAGCAGCGCGCCTCTGGCCCCGTCGAGTACGTACGCGGAACCGAGTCTCCCCTTGCCCTATCGTTCGCCACGAGGTTGTGAAGCGACAATGCCAAGGTCGTCTAGGTTCAGGAATCCAGGAACAAGCTAGCAGCAGTCGGGTGCGGAGTCGTTGTGGAACTCGCAGTTGTCGGCAGTCTCGGTAACGCTTGAACTCTCAGAAGTCGTGTGCGTCGTCGTGGACACGGGAATACTCTCAGAGGACGTGCATGCGTCGGTGGGGACGCGGAGAACGAGTCCGAGCCCGCGGAGTCGCTCGAGTACGAGTCCGAGCCCGCGGTGTCGCTCGAGTACGCCCTCCGCCGCCACACGCGGCCCGCCGAAGCCGCGGCCACCGACCAGCCGAGACAGCCGCTGGCAGCACTGCCCACGGAGAGCACCTTCAGCAGCTGCCCGCCAGCTGGCCACCGCCAGGCTGCCAAGGGCCACGAACGGCCCGCGAGGATGCCGAGGGCGGCTCGCGCCGGAGCCGTGCGGCGGGCGGCTCGCGCCGAAGTCGTGCGGCGGGCGGCTTGCGCGGAAGCCGTGGGGCGGGCGAAGCCGTGCAGAAGCCGTGCGGCGGGCGGCTCGTGCCGGAGTCGTGTTGGTGGGCGGCGCGTGCCCCTTCGAAAGATGTTGGCGGGCAAGGGTCTGCCGTCGTGCGCGTCTGTTGGCCTCTGCCCTCAGCGCCGCGACTGCAGGCTCGAGTTCCTCAGCGGCTGCTCGTTGGTGGCCCCGTGGAGAACTGCTGCTGACCACGAGGCCCGTTGTGCTGAACAAGGCTGTGGTGGCCGTTGATGCCATGGTGACGCTCGCGGTCATCGTCAGCGCCGACGCCTCCCACACTGATGCCCCATGGAGAGGGTGTAGGCAGAAGACGCGTGACCCTGCGATGCTTCCATGCTGAGACGACTTCAGCGGCATGCGGCTTGCAGATTCGGTTAAGAATGGACCGAGAACGGCAAGGATGCAAGGGACGCATTGATGCAGCACTGCATCATAGCTGTGCGCCTCTTCACGAGCAGAAGCACGACAAATTAACTACCTGGGGAGAGTTAGTATGATGGACAACCCGCCATCCATGCAACTATACTCACTCAAAGCGGAGGGAACGCGTTTCACTGGCGTTTGCCTTGGGAACATTCGGCGGCGCGTTTCGAACCAGGGGGGGGGCCCCAACACTGGGCGCCGTCGATCAAAACCAGGGGGACTCCCCTCCCCCCCAACCACCCACCCCTCCCGAACCCGCCCCTCTCCCTCCCAAGGGGAGGGTTTCAACCCCCCTCCCACCCCTCGGCGCCGGCGACCGCGCTGGCGGCCGCCAGCCGCGCCGACGGCGGGGACGCAGCGACAATGACAAGAGGCAGCCCAGGGGAGGGGGGGGGTGTTGAACCCCTCCCACCCCCCCCGGTGGCGCGCCGGGGGGGGGTTGAACCCCCCCCCCTGGCGCCGGCGCCGGCGCTGGCGGCGGCCAGCAGCTCCCGCGCTGGCGCCGGCGACGGCGGAGACGCAGCGACGATGACCACCACTACCGCCACCACCACCACTACCACCACCACCACCGCCTCAACCCACCACCACCACCACCAAAAACCCACCACACAACCACCACCACCACAGCCTCCACCAACACCACGCAACCACCACCACCACACAACTCACCATCACAACCACCACCACCACCACCACCGCCTCCCCTCCACCACCACCACCAACCCTCCACACAACCACCACCACCACCACAGCCACCACCACCACCACCACCACCACCACCACCACAACTCAACATCACAACCACCACCACCACAAAAACCCACCACCACTACCACCACCCCAACAATCTAACACACCACCACCACCGCCACAAACAGCACCACTACCAGCAGCGCAACCTACCGCCACCACCACAAACCACCACACCACTACCACCACCACCACATCCACCACCACCACCAGCACCACATCCACAAAGCACCACCACCACAACCCACCACCACCGCCACCACCACCACCACCACAAACCACCACCACACCACCACCACCACCACCACCACCACCACCACCACCACCACAAACACCGCCACCACAACTCACCATCACCACCACAACCACAAAGACACACTACCACTACCACCACCGCCCCAATTTACCACAACACCACCACCACCGCCACAACCACCACCACTACCAGCAGCACAACCCACCACCATCACCACAAAACACCACACCACACTCACCACCACCACCATCAAGACCACCACCACCACCACCACCACCACCACCACCACCTCCACAAACCACCGCCACCACCACAACCCACCACCACAACCACAAACCACCACCACCATCGCCAAACCACCACCACCACCACCACAAACCACCACCAACACCACCACAGCCACCACCACCACCACAACCACCACCACCACCACCATAACTCACCATCACAACCACCACCACCACAACAAACCACCACACCACCACCACCACAACCAGCACCACGGCCAGCACCACCGCCACCACCACCGCCACCACAACCCACCACCACCTCCACAAACCACCACCACCACCACCACCGTCGTCCTCGTCGACGCTCCCCGCCGCCGCCGCCCGCCGCCGCAGGCGCCGGCGCCGCCGCCGCCAGCCGCCGCCGACGCAAGCACGGGCCCGAGGAGAGGGGAAGCAGAGGAGGGGGGGGGGGGGGGGGGTTCGAGCCCCCCCCTCCATCCAGAGGGGGGGGGTCCGGTTCCAACCGCCCCCCCCCCTCCAAGCGACCACAGAACGCGCTCTTTCTCAACGCGAGGTCCAAAGAGAACTGCTAGCGCTCGATCCTCGTAACAGTTGGAAGCTTTTACAATGAGTGTGCGCGGAGCTGAGGCGAGAACGAAATTTAGAATTCCACCGCTCCATATCCATGGAAGAACTATTTGTGGGCGCGAACGGCAGGATCCCGAAGTGCGAACTAGTCCAAGGCGAAACGCCTGGCCTGCCCTACCGACACGTCGCGCACTGCGGCGGGAGTAAATCCCACCAGCCCTCTGCACTGGGCGTAGATAGTTTAGCGTGGTAACTCTTCCAATCCCCTTCATTTAACATGGAAAAACGGGTCCTCTGGGGAACGGGTCCTGGAACCTGGGGCCTTCCCCCAGGACGAGTTCTTCATCCTGAGTCGTTTCCTGACGGTCCCGGGGACCGTGGAGGGCCACGGGAAGCAAAGCACGGCGAAAACCTCGGCACACGTTTCCCTCAGAACCCGTTCGCTCCACGGCGAGTCTTCCCGCGTTTGAAGTGGACTGGGTTTCCGCCCGCCCCCTGAAGAGGAGGGAAGAGGGAAAACCGATCGACTCTTGAACCAGGAAGACGCCTCAAGTATATTGGAATCCCGAGGTCAAAAAATACCTAGGTTCGACGGCCGACGAGTGGTTCTTCCAAACCCTTTCTTGCCCTGCGTGGGGGGGGGGGGCTTCCGTACCCCTCACCCGACCCCGCGCCGGAAGCCTTCCCACCCCGCCTGACGCAGCCTCTTGGGAGCCGCTCGGGGGCCTTCTGACGGCCTCTCGGAGACCTCTCGGGGAACTTTGGAAGGCCTCTGGGAAGCCTCTCGGGGGCCTTTGGGGGCCTTTTGGGGCCTCTTGGAAAATCTTTCGAGTCACGGACGCGTGGCGTTGTGGCCTCGTCGAGATTTGGAGCGAGGACCTCGTGGGGCCCTATTGGGGTCTTCTGGGGCCGCCTCGGACCCCTCCTGGGCCCGTCTTGGGGCCTTTGGGTTTGTTTTGTTGCGGCCCTCTTGAGGCCTCACAGACTCGACGGCAGCGAAAAGGCGAGAAGACAGAAATCATGTTTTGCCATTGGTGTTCGATGATTTCAACCTCTCGGATGCCCTCGTGGGGCGTCTTGGGGACATCTGGAGCCGACTTGGAGGCCATCTTGCCGTGCTTGCTCTTATCTTGTGTGGACGTCGTGGGCTTCTTTCGGGACGTCGTTGTTTCTTCAGTGGCTGTCAGAAAGCGGCCTGAAAGCCTGCAGCCCGACGTAACCATTTGCTACACGGACCATGCAAACAAATCAATATATTATTGACGTGTTTCATGATCTACCCACGTCTACACTCACAGTTGTTGATGATGTTTGTTCCCAAAGCGTTATCAAGGCCTGCTGCCAAACAGAACAGCATGCTAAATTAAACTGACCCTGCAGCTGAAACCAAACGAATGGGCAAATTTCCTCTAATACGCCTACCTGCCCACGCGTGTTGCTTCATGTGTCAGTGCCGTCAACTCGCATGGTCGCTTGCATCACTAGAAGATTTCTGGGGAGACACAGCTTTCATGCCAGTGCCCCCAGTGGCACTTATGACTGCTCCGCAGATTACAATCCCTAGGCCCAGCGACTGGCCGGCCGAGAAAGCATGATTGCCTCCAATGATATCCAGAACAACTGCAGTCAGCAGCTGGCCCCATAAGCTCACCGCAAACGTGGTTGAATAACCAAGTCTGCTCGGCAAAGTTTGAAGACTGTGTAAATACCAAGCACCTTGGAACCCTGTGAAAAGCCAAAGATGAAGATCCTTACCGTGGAAATAAAACGGCATGCCGCCTAAGAGGAACCCTACGAGCAACGGAACCTGGACCAAGGCATTAGTGAGCTGGCACACTAGCGCATCAGTGGCTGCATCTGTTTGTTTATCCACTTGTACCGCTTGCTGGGCAGGCGTTGCCATCAGGCGAGCCTGAAATACATAGCATGAGCCTGAAATGAATGTACACGCCACCCAAAAGGCTGTCAGATATGCTGGTGCGAACAAGTTCGAGACTTCCCTGCCAGCCAGAATTCCCACAGCTACACCGATGAAGACTACTCCTGTGCCGACGAAACGCCGCCACAGTTCCTTGCCACGAATTCCAGTAATGCTGTCCAGGGACAGAGCTGTAGAAAGAAGGCCCAAGCGAAGGACCATCTGTACTAACCCTAGGCCCAAGCTGTTTGCAGCAGCCACAAGAGAAAACGCGGGTAATGTGCACATGCCCCCGAACCACGGACCGCTGCGACGAGGTATACTTTTCAATGACGCAAACGGAACAAGGAACAACGCAGATATGAGCAAGGCCAGCGTCGTCACGTAGCAGCTTGCGGCAAGTGCAGGCGCGCCTGCGGAGCTGGACAACCTTACGCTACACCACAGACGCAGTGTGACTGATGAGCCAACTGCCGCTGCCCAGATAAGATCAGCAACGTTGACGAGCGAGTCCCACTTGGATGTGCTCATGCTGTGTGCCTTTGCCAGATTGAGGGCAACGATCCTGCTATGACCTGGACCATGCCGTGTGTGCATTGGGCTTCTTCTGATGGGCGAAGTTTCCACCACCACTACCATATGTAGGACGGGGGAGAAGGGAGGATGAGGATGTCCTCCTCCTCCTCCTCCTCCTCATCCTTCTCCTCCTCCTCCTCCTCCTCCTCCTCCTCCTCCTCCTCCCTCTCCTACCTATGGTAGTGGTGGTGGAAATGGGCCCATCATCTTCGACCGAGCAACGCCACTCCTGAGAGCAGCACCGTGAGAGCCACCCTCGTCTGGCGACAGGGCTGCAGATCCTGCGGCACCGGCTTGCCTCGAGGGCATCGAGCCACTGGAGGAGGTGAGGAGGGGACAATGCGCAAATGTCGTCCTAGGGATGCCATTGCTTTATCAGGCTTTGAAGAAACATTAACTTGAGTCAAAATTGCTACGGACAGCCGTCGGGCACCAGATTGATTCGAAAGCACCAAACCAACTGTGCGCACATGTCAATCTGGGAAGGCCATTGCTTGATCTGGCTTTCAGCAAACATCAACGTGAGCCAAAACAGCTACGGACAGCCGTCGGGACGTCTTGGGCCGTCTTGGCAGGGAAGGCACGCTAATTCCACCACAAGACGTATCCACGTGGGCACGGAGCCTCCGACTGAGACCCTAGAGAGGCAAACGTCACTCAAACATGTTCAGTTGATCACCGATGTGTTGGCCTTCTCGCCCTATCTCTTCTGATGGCCGTCTGAGGCCTCAAGATGGCTCCTATATTGCCGAAACCGCAGGCCCCCTTGCGGGGCCAACAGGCTGCGAAGATCGGGCTTCAGAAATAGATACCAGTCCTGAGCTCCTCGGTCCCAGTCACAGTTCCAGTGCAGCTTCCAGCTCCCAATCGCCAATGTTATAGTTCTAATTCCTGCTTCCCACTGCGAACTGTTCCTGAACGCGGGAGGGGCGGAGGCCAAAAACCGCCCTGGACAAAAAAGCCTGCCTGGGTTCTGGGTTCTCAGAATTCCCCCGCGGGGGAGGGGGGGCTGGGACACGTGAAAACCTTGGGGGGCCCAGGACACGCAAAACTATTTGAGATTCGCGCCCTGGGATTCGTTGAAATTGTGCCAAAATCGTGATCCCGAGGCGGGGACCCGAATGTAAGTGCGACAGATCCGGGCCCCGGCTGCCAGCTCCCCTTGTAATCTACACTTGGCTCGCGCTCCCCAAACCATCGCCTCCTCTCCATTACGCCAGGTTCGCGCTCGTGGAGCCACAATCCACCCTCGACAGTGTACGCGCCGTTCATTTCTAATCGTGCTCATTTCTGATTGCGCTCGTTTCTAATTGTTCCTGGCCCCCTACTGGCCAGGAAGATGCCCAGGATAGAACAATTAGAGATGAAAGGATCGTGGCCCCCCAAGAATCAATGAACTTTCGAAGAACTAGGAATGGACAATGTGTGCACCAGAGCCTCGCGTCCGAGACCAGAATCCATCGCACATCTCGCCAGCCTTTCACTCCAGAGGCCAAGACCCCGCTTAGATGACGCCAGGCTCGCGCTCCCCGAGGCCAGAACCCCACGCGCATGAGACCCAGGTTCCAACTCCCGAGGCCCGAAGTCTGGCTGCATTGGACAGCTTCGCGCTCCCGAAGCCCAAATCTTGATGGGCCCGTTCTCCACCACCGCCACCACCATAAGCTGGAGGGGGAGGGGGTCCTCCTCCTCCTCCTCCTCCTCCTCCTCCTCCTCCTCCTCCTCCTCCTCCTCCTCCTCCTTCCCCCCTCCAACTTTTGGTGGTGGTGGTGGAAAGCAGGCCCATCAAAGCTCGTGTAGATTACGCCAGGGCTCGCGCCCCCGAGGCCAGAGTCCCTTGCACAGTGTGCCAGGCTCGCGCGCCCGAGGTCGGAGTCCTTTCTGCAATTACGCCAGGCCCGCGCCCCCCGAGGACACGACCCCCCGGGGAAGTGTCCCCAGGGCCCCAGGCTTACGTCATGTCCGCGGGCCCGGAGCCCAAGCCCTTTGTGACACGAGATTCGTGCTCCCGAAACTAGGGTCCGTCATGCTTTACGCCAGGCTCGCTCCCCCAAGGCCAAGGCCCTTGTATACTTTGCACCAGATTCGAGCCCCGAGGCCACAATCCATAATACATTATGCCAGATTCGCGCTCCCGAGACTGGACTCCAATGTAAACTGCGCAATGTTCGCGATCCTGAGGCCCGAACCCCTCGTGCATTACGCCAGGCTCGCGCGCCCGAAACACACAATATCTTACACATGAAAGCCAGGTTTGCGCTCCCGATGCCAGCATCCAGTGTAAACGAAGCCAGGTCCGCGCGCCCGAGGCCAGAATCCGTTGCCAATGATGCCAGGCTCGCGGCGCCCGGGGCCAGGAATCCTTTGCAGATGACAACCGGTTCGCGCTCCCGAGGCCACGATCCCATGTAAATGACGCTCCGTTCGCGCTCCCGAGGCCACGATCCCCTGCAAATCGGAATCACGCCAGATCCGCGCTGTGAGGCCACACGGCGTCCAACAACAACTCCAACATCTCGAGGTGTCTGCTGAAGGCGAAATCGCCCTCGCATGATGCCCCCGAGAGCGTTCAAACCAGCGCCTTCATGAACCAGCACAGCTCCGACATCTCCCATTATGATGGAGAAGGGGCCGGCGGCAGAGAGCGGCGCCCTTACGCATATAATAGCCAGCATTGCTCCATCGGCTCTCTTCGACTGGGTGCGAGCCACATCTCCAAAGATCGCCTCGAAGACTTCTGCCTGCCCTACCGCCCCCCCTGGGCACGAGCACGCCACCACGTATCCAGTGATGCGAGCAGGGCCGGCGGCATGAGCAAAACGACTCAATAGGCAACAATGCTCCAAGACGGATCCCAAAGCGACTAAGAGTGCCCCCTGAACGCTCCACCAGTGCAGTGCGGTCAGGGAGACGATGTTTCGGACTCCGTCGGGGGCAACCCCAATCAATGCCGCCCCTTCCGCGCAACGCCGCTCTCATTGAGAAGCAATCGGCTTCTCAATGATGTTGTCCTCTTTCGGAGATATCCCGGGAGGCCTGTTGGGCCAAGATTGCTCCAAGATGACCACAGACGCCTCAAGGCGGCCTCAGATAAGGCGCAATCTGGTCTCGTGATGGCCTCCTGCATGTCTCCTGGAAGCCCGAAGACGACCCAGAGACTGCGGATTGCGTGGCCTCGGAGTCCCCAAATGAGACCCCCGAAAGGCAAACATTACTCGACAAAAACATGTTCCAATGGGTTCGGCGACGTTTCGCCGGTTCGATCCCGACTGCCATCTGAGGCCTCAGGATGGCTGCAAGATCGCCCAAGGGAGCCCAGGAATATGGATACAGCCCTTCGGCAAAAGCACCCCTCTGTGAAAACGACCCGGGGGCCACACCCGCCGGGCGCAGGCCCACAAACATGGACGCCGCGACGCTTCCTCGAGAGCCGATAACAGCCATGCGAGACTCGGCTTGGCAGGGTGGGGGTCCTGAGACCTCCGACGCGGGAGCTCGTCTCGGACACGCTGCGCGCGCCGCGGCTGAGTGTGCAGGCTCGGAACGCTGTGCGAAAGGAATACCACCCTGTCGGCCACGGGAAGAGTTGGCGCGACGACCTGCGTGACTGCTTGAGGACGCACGTCTCCAGAGCTGCACGGGGGAACTGGTACACCCTCCTCAAAGACAGCGACGTCAATCGTCTTCAACAAGGCCTCGTCGAGAAAACACACGGAGCGCTGTGGCGCTGCGCGCCCATCCCCGTAGTTGTAAAAGCTCTCGCCGTAGTGGCGTTCGATAGTACGACCGTCCCAGGAGCGCCCCAAGAGCACCCCGAGAGCGTCGCCAAGGGGGCCCCAAGAGGTGACGATTCGGGCTCCGACGGTGGGGCGCTGCTTGATCAATTTCGTCCTGGAGCTGCCCGCGAGGGCACGGAAGGCTCCCAAGAGGGCCCCAAGAGAGCCCCAGACGTCTCCGGCGCCGAGGGTGGCCCAAGATGATCCAAATCAGCTTCCAAAAGGCTGTCATGCCGGAAGGTCCGCGAAGGCTGTTCTGGTTGACGAATGTGTCTGCTCAGGCTGATCCCCGCGCTTCGCTTCGACGGCTGCCTGCCCCCCCCCCTCCCCCCTGTTCCTCTGCATGCCCCTACCTAATCAAGGCGCCCCGCCGGGGCATCGTGCTTGAAAGGGCTGGAGGGGATACGCGTGTTGTCATCACTCTGAAATTAATGACGATGAGGAGCTCAAGACAGCGTGGACCTGGAAAAGTGCATTGCTGCATTGTGGAGGTGGAAGCTGTGCAGTGTGCTGTATGTGGTGAGGGCACCGTTGCGTAAGTTGCATGGTGTGAGCTATGACGACGAGAGCTATGCAGTGCAAGCCACGTGGTGCAAGCCCTATAGTTGAAGCTATCAGGTGTGAGCTATGGAAGTAAGCACTGTGTGGTGCAATGGGTGTGGTGCAAGCTATTTCGTGTCAGCTATGCGGTGTGAGCTTACGGTGCAAGCTATGATGCGTAAGATGTGTGATTGGTGCGGAAGCTATGCGGTGTTTGCTTCCCCTGGACGAAAGTTGTTCCTCTCGGGCCGGGAACGACGGTTTGAAGGCTTGAGCAGACGCGTGTGAGATATCCGCCTCGCGCGGATCCATTTTTCGTCTTGGTTTCTCTTTCGGCGGATCCGATTTCCGTCCGTGCAGACTTCCGCCTGCGCATGCCATGTGGTTTACGCTGTGTGGTGAAAGCTTCCCCGTGCAAGCTCAGAGCACGGGGCGCCCACGAGCGCCCTCGAGGCGACAACGTGGCACAACCTCGGCATACCCCCCCCCCCGAGCGGGGCGTCCACGGGCGGAAGCGCGGCGCAGACCCGACGCGTCACCAACCGAGCGTGGGGCGCCCACGAGGCGCCAACGACGCGGCAACGTTAGGAGACACATGCTGGGAGGTCTTCGTCGGAGAGACTGAGGAGGATGAAGCCCCAATTGGGGAGCTGCTGCGCCGGATTTGGCCGCGGACTGACCAAAATTAAGCAACATGTTTAACGGGATTGAGCCGACTTAGACGGAAAGGAGCCTGATTGGGCCGGGTTTCGGACCAAGGCAAAATCAGAACTTGACCCCCCAGGAGTTGCACCCGAAGAAACGTAGCGCAAACCCGACATACCCCCCCCCAAACAACAAACAAAAATCAAATCGCGGCCCCCGCGAGGCGGCACGGAAGGCAACGTGGCCCAACCTCAACATTACCCCCATGCGCGGTGCGTCCCCGAGGCGGCACGGGTCCGCCGTACCCATCCGTTTTTCCTGACGCACGCGCTGTTTGGGCAAACGGAATCGAAGGACGGATAGGGGAGGAGGAGAAGGAGCAAGAACATAATGGACGAGGGTGATGCGGAAAAGGAACGAGGGATGGACGAGGAGGAGGGAACGAGGGATGGAGGAGCCGCGCTCCGAAGGAGATCCCCGTGGTCTCGGAGGACCTTGCGCACGCGGGCAACTCGGCGGGACATCGCCCCCGCCTGTGCGAGGCCCCTCACGCTCGCATGACTGCACCTCTTGCCACAGTAGCACGTGCGATGAATGCCGTATCAATAACAAGACATGCTAGCCCGCGTGGACCCAATGTAGTGAGTCGCTGCACTTTAGAGGTGGAACGTATGCGGTGCAAACTGCCTGG